GGGTGTCCGCGGACGATGATGGGGGTGTCCCCTGAGGATGATGGGGGTGTCCCCTGACGATGATGGGGTGTCCCCTGACGATGAAGGCGGTGCCCCCTGACGATGATGGGGGTGTCCCCTGACGATGATGGGCGTGTCCCCTGACAATGATGGGGGTGTCCACTGACGATCATGGGCATGTCCCCTGACGATGATGGGGGTGTCCCCTGACGATGATGGGGGTGTCCCCTGACGATGATGGGCATGTCCCCTGACGATGATGGGCGTGTCCCCTGACAATGATCGTCTGTACTGAGTTGATTAATTCTTTTTTTCGCAGCGCTCAAAGTCTTCAACACGACATTGATGTCCCTCATCGCTGTGATATTAATCATTACCGCCGTCGTGTGCATGAGAGCCTGGCACAAGCACAGCAGGTATGTCCCTGAATTCTTCCTGAATGGCCCCTCCCCCACCTTGTCAGTCCGCTGTATTCTGCATCATCAACCAATGCGTCTCCATACTATAAACCAGGGAAGGCAAAACATAAGCAAACTTTAATTTTAGCACAGGGTGTGGGCAACCTCGGCCCTCCAGCTGTTGCAGAACTACAAGTCCCATGAGGCATTGCAAGACTCTGACAGCCACAGGCATGACCCCCAGAGGCAGATGCATGCCGGGAGTTGTAGTTTCAGCACAGCTGGAGTGCCAACCCCTTGTGATAACATGGAGAGTTTAGTGATTACGTTTACATTTACTTTAAGGTTCAACTTTCCCAAATCCGATCCGCATTCCTCATCGCCTCTCTTCGCCCCACGCAGGCAGTATCGGCGAGCGCGGGAGTACGAGACCAGCGTGAAAACCAGCCCCGGCACCGCCCCCGCCGCCATGTCCAGCTTGAGGCGGATCGTCAACATCCATAAATCGATAATCCTGATGAGGAGACAAGAGAACCCGAAGCCTCAAGTCTACTTCATCTACAGCAACCTGGCCATGGCGGACGAGGAGCAGGAGAGACCTCCGGAGGACCAGGAGCCGCCCGTCATCCCCGGAGACGTCAGGTCCGGCGAAGTCATCCTAAACCCCCGCGCCTTCTACGTCTGACCTATGCGGAGGACGCTGCAAGCCAAGTGGACGGTGTGTCCCCCGGAGGGCAATTCTGACTATTTCGAGGGGAAGTCACATTCGGAATCCTAATATACTAAATCTCGTACACAACAAGCTGGCCGTGGAAGAGAACCTGTCACCGGAACACTCCGTCCAATGACAATTCCCACATTGTATTGTATTCGTGTCATTCACCTGCCACGCCCTCCCTTGTGTGGACATCCCAAAGCCCCGAGATCGCTGCCGGGAGCCGCCATCTTGGATGTGATGTCAGAAGCCCCAGCCGGCTCAGAGCTGTCACTCGAGTGACTCTCTACAACAGAGGTAGGCAACCTCGGCACTCCGCAAATCCCATCATGCCTCAGGGAGTCACGCCTGTGGGCTGTCAGAGTCTTGCAATGCCTCAGGGGATCTGTAGTTGCACCACAGCTGGAGTGCTGAGGTGGTCTGCCCCTGCTGTACCTGCCCTTCCCTGCTTCCCCCGGCAGCTACATTAAAAGGTTATGGAGTGTGGTAAGGGGAGGAGCTGGACCAGCACAGAAGGTAGTTAGACACTCCCAGGACAGGAGAGGGCTATGACATGCAAGGAGGGAGAGGGGCTGTGCTATGGCATCCCTGTAGTAGTCAAATTTTCCAGCAAATTCATCAACAGCCCCTATGAAGGTCTGAACCTCCGAAATGCGTCGGGTGTTCCATGTAGTCTTGTTCTGAGCAAACACTAATATTAAAAGATTTCGAACTCGTAGATCTTTGGTCTGGCACTCTGTTTACAAATTTTATTTGATGTCAGTGTCGCCGCTGAGCACTATGGCCGTCTCTTTTTCTCTGGTTGACCATTGTCAATGAGACTAAATAGCTGGGAAAATCCAAACATTTCAGTTGTCACAGCAACAGGAATAAAGGGGAAACCTTCCAATGGGGACACCTGTTATGGTGACAATTTCGGCCATGGAAACCCATTCCATGAAGCTCTCTACGCACTGTTGTTGCGCCAATCTGAAGGCCGCACGGAGTTTGGAGGTCTGTAGCTATTGGCTCTGCAGACAGTTGGCGACTTCTGCGCAATGTGCGCTTCAGCATGCGCTGACCCCGCTCTGTCATGTGACGTGGCCGACCACTTCCTGGCTGAGTTGCTGTTGTTCCCAGTTGCTTCCACTTTGTTATAATACCAGTAACGGGTGACCGCGGAATATTTAGTAGCCAGGAAATGTCACGGAACAATGATTGAGGGGGAGGGGCCCAATACTTTTGGTAATATAGTGTACACACACGCACGCACGCACGCACATCCTCCCCAGCTGCATAAACTCATAATCCCTTTGCTCCTCTATCTGGTCACTTGGAGCAAAGAGAAACACCCAATATGTCCAGGAATGGAGGGAGAGGGGAGGGGTATGTGACGCACCTCCCTTCTCTCCCATGTGACAGCACTAGTTCTTGGTGATTGGCTCAGGGCTGTCACATGGGTGCAGAAAGACTTCTCAGCCTAGTGTAAGCTCTAAGCTAGGGGTGCTTTGCTGGCACTTGGCTCTGACACCCCAACACACAAACCCTGAGCAGTACAGCCCCCCTGCAGCACAGTGTATTCCAGAAGAGCGCACGGTTCCGGGAGGACTGGCTATCGCTCATTACTTTTATTCAGAGCGCAAAACTAACTCCCGGCGCCCCATTTCTCCCAAACAAAAGCAATAAAGAGAACACAGAAATCATTTGCTTTCATTTAATTGTCTGCACTGAGATTCTTCTTTGGATGCCCGATCATTAAATCGTCATTTGCTCTTCCGCTACGACGCGCCATTTAATGTGCCACATAAAAAGACCCCGCCCCCCTACGGGTCAAACTCGGAGCTTTGGCACAGGCAACCGAAGCGCGGGGGAGCGCCACGTAAAATGACAACGCTGAGGATAAAAAATACTTTAGAAAAGAGTTAATGGGATTTGCAGATGGCCTGCGTTTCCTTGATCAGCCACTGGAGGGCGTCGTGGCGTCCTTGTTTCTCCAGCTCGGCGCCAACTACTTCCCGGCACTTCTTGTGGTAATCGTTCACCCAATCCACCTGCAGAGCATAAAAAGAGATTAGGGTGTTAGGAGGAATGTACAACGTCTTCCTGAAAATGCATTAAAATAAGTAGATAAGAAATATGACATACAAAGATTTTACATTTACTACCAGCAGATGGAGCTCTAAGATCATTCTCCCATGTTTACCTGGCTAAGCTTTGCTGGGAAAAAAAAAAGCTGTTTACAGAGTTTCATAGCTAAAGCTCAGATTACACTTACAGCTGAATGATCAGAAAAGTGCCCCCCTCCTCCTCTCTCCCTGCCATGTGCAGCTCCCCACAGAGTTTCTATCCCTCCATCTATTAGTTTGTCTGTCCCACTGTCTGTCCATCTTCTCACATGCATGAATCCGTTTGTCTGTCCATCTATCTTCCTGCATCAGTGTATCCTGTCTGTCTGTCGTTCCCTGCATTCATGTATCAATCTTTGGCACAGGCAACCATGTCTATATGTCTGTCCGTCCATCAGTCTACTTGTCTTTCCATCCATCTATCAGTTCATTGATCAGGTTGTCTGTCTGTCCGTCCATCAGCCCATATTTGCCTATCTGTCCATCAGTGCACTGGTGTAATCGTCCATCTATCTATTTGTCAATCTGCCCATCTAGCTGTCTATCAGTTAATTTCTCTATCTGTCCATCAGTCTACAAGTTCATCTATCTGTCCATCGGTCTACACGTCCGTCTATCTGTCCATCAGTCTACTTGTCTACAAGTCCATCTATCTGTCCATCAGTCTACACGTCCATCTATCTGTCCATCAGTCAACTTGTCTACACGTCCATCTATCTGTCCATCGGTCTACACGTCCATCTATCTGTCCATCGGTCTTCATGTCCATCTATCTGTCCATCAGTCTGCTTCTCTACACCTCCATCTATCTGTCCATCAGTCTGCTTCTCTACACATCCATCTATCTGTCCATCGGTCTACTTGTCTACACCTCCATCTATCTGTCCATCAGTCTGCTTCTCTACACGCCCATCTATCTGTCCATCGGTCTACACGTCCATCTATCTGTCCATCGGTCTACTTGTCTTTCCATCCATCTATCAGTTCATTGATCTAGTTGTCTGTCTGTCCATCAGTCTAGTGGTGTAATTGTCTATCAGTCTACTTGTCTACACGTCCATCTATCTGTCCATCAGTCTACCTGTCTATCCATCCATCTATCTGTCCATCAGTCTACCTGTCTATCCATCCATCTATCTGTCCATCAGTCTACCTGTCTATCCATCCATCTATCTGTCCATCAGTCTACCTGTCTATCCATCCATCTATCAGTTAACTGGTCTATCTGTCCATTAGTCTATTAGCACGTCTGTCCATCTATCCATCTATTGGTCTATTTGTGGGTCCGCCCCTCTATCCGTCCATCACTCTATTTGTATGTCCGTCTTCCTCCCTCCCTCTACTATGTGCAGACACTAAACGGGGTGTGCGTTGCCCGGACTTTGGACACTTACCTCTCTCTGTGTCAGTAGGTCGACGTTGATCATTTTGCTCTGAAAAGGGACCAGTGTAATGGGTTCGAAGGTCAGACTTCCCCGATCTCGGAAGTTGTACTAAAGATGAGAAAACACCAAAAAGGGCCGATTAACATCCTTCCCGGGAAATGATCGTTTCTCTCCAATACAAAAAAAAAGGGAGAAGCAGCTGCAAAGCCAGACAGCTACCTGGGGGAAGCCGCTTAACGCTACATTAAAAAGGTAAAAAAGTAAATTGTTTTAAGAGTCTTCCGCCCCGAGGAGCAACATAATAAGCCTTAAACAGTCGATTCCAGCCGTCCCGGCGCATTACGGAAACTTACAAACTCATTAGTATTTATTTAAGGCTCCGGATTCAATCTCATTTTAGGGATATATATATATGAATCGGCCTCTCCTGAGACCCAGCCAGCGGTAATGATACAGACTGAACCGCCACGGTCTATAAACCTTCAAGAGTCTGTTTGGGATAGATTGCGCCTCTTTAGGCCTTACTGACAAGCAGGAGGATATTGAAGGATAACTGAGGAACAATATGACAGAAGCCAATTACCTACCTGCGATGTGGGAGGAAAGCGAAGTACCTGGGAGGAAACCCAAACACAGGGAGAGAACATGCAAACTCCATGCATGGGGTATCCTGGTATGGATTCCAATGGAGGGCCCCGATGCTGCAAAGCACTTGCAGCACTGGGGCCCTTGGGATAAAATCCTGGACAGGACACTATCTGCATTGAGCTTGCATGTACTTGGTGGGCTACCTTCCAGGTTCTCCAGTTTCCTTCCACACTCCTAAGGCCTGGTTCACACCTAGGCGTATTGCATATGCACGTCTGTCGCGCGTTTTTTTTACCGCGATTCGCGGTAAAAAAAATTGCGCGACAAACGCGCGTTTCCGAGGGCTACTTGGCTGTATCCCAATGGAAACGCGCAACAAAAACGGCCCAAAGTAGTACATGTACCTTTTCAGGCGTTTTGTAGCGCGTTAGGGACGGGCTGAAATACGCCAAGGTGTGAACCAGACCCATTGAATACAATGGGATTTAGATGTTTGAGCGTTTTGTAGAGCGTTCGTCGAGCGTAGAACGCGCTACAAAACGTTCAGGTGTGAACGAGGCCTTAGACAAGCTGGTATGATAATTGGCTCGTGTACAAACCAGCCCCTAGTTGTCTACACATCCATCTATTTGTCCATCAGCCAACTGGTCTATCTGTCCATCTATTGGTCCATTTGTCTGTCCACCCATCTATCTGTCCATTGGTCTATTCGTCCTTCACTCTATTTGTCTGTCTGTCTTCCTCTCTGCATCTACTATGTGCAGACACTAAACTGCACTGATGTATGCAGGCCAGGCTGTCCCTATAATGAGACTGTTGCCCATCGTTTTATCTCTTTGGGTCACATGGGTGGGCTGCAGGATCTGTCTTTCCAGTCAGAGCATCCCAGGGTGCTAAGAGCTGGGCGGGGAGATGTGTATGGGCCAGCTCTTAGAAACCTGGGATGCTCTGGTGGTGAGATTCCAGCCAGCCAGAGTTGGGCAGTGCACCACGAGGATTCTGGCCAGAGTGCCCTTAGCTTGCACCACCTGCACCCAATCAAAACCCCTAGCAGTGTGCTTCCTGTGCCTAGGCACATCTGCTCTGTAGTCTCAAAGCTATATATCTGCAGTGTGAGATCTCAGGCACTGCTGCCTCTGACTGCTAGCCTCACTAGTTTCAAAGCTATATATCTGCAGTGTGAGATCTCAGGCACTGCTGCCTCTGACTGCTAGCCTCACTAGTTTCAAAGCTATATATCTGCAGTGTGAGATCTCAGGCACTGCTGCCTCTGCTAGTCTCAAAGCTATATATCTGCAGTATGAGATCTCAGGCACTGCTGCCTCTGCTAGTCTCAAAGCTATATATCTGCAGTGTGAGATCTCAGGCACTGCTGCCTCTGACTGTCAGTCTCAGGAGATTTGGAGTAGGATCTGGGGGAGTCACCACTGTGCTGCACAAGGTTCTTGCTGGAGAGGAAGCTGTACCTGAGGCCCTGCAGTGCAAGGATCTCCCTGCTTCTGCTTCATTCATTCTGTGGATCTGGGCTTCTTCCGCCTCTCCTGCAGCTTCCTGATCACTACACCGCCAGTCATCAGATCAACAGAAAACAGGGGGATAGCTCTGATAGGAGGAGGCTAAGCCCCGCCTCTACCAATATGGCCAAAATGCAGAGCAAGGCAAGATAAGTCAGCTATGGGGAGAAGACCAGCTGCAGGAAGACCACAGGCAATATCGGTGACTAGTCCTTTGTCCTCTGCTTGCCATTTTTTGCCACAGCTTCCACAGTACAGGTCCTCTTTAAAGGGGAACTATGAGGTGAGTGAAAATCACTCCTCCTCATCGTTCGAGCCGACCTGTGACAAAGAAACTGTCACACGTCGGCTCAATAGATCGGGAAGTGAGCGAACATATACCGGCGCTCGCTCACTTATCGATCATCTACCTGCAGAGAGCCGTGACTGTCACTCACGGCTCCCGGCAGGGATTCCCCCTCCCCGCTACGATCCTCCAGCGCTGACTGGAGGAACGGACGGGGGAGGGGGCGGGTACAGCTGGCTCTGCCTCTGGATAGGCAGAGCCAGCTATCAATCACGCAGCTGGGTGGATCCAGACAATAATGTGGGATCCATCCCGGCTGCGGCGTCTCAGTATATAATGAGCTACAGCTCGCGGTATACTGAGCTTTGGGTGAGGGGAGGACGCTAGTTTGTGTCCTCCCGTTACCCTGAGGAGAACTATGGGGAAAAATACTGACCCCATAGTTCTCCTTTAATGGTCTATTAATGAATACAGAGCTGCAATACTTTGTGTCTCTTATATCTGCACGGACCGGACCTGTAAGGTAAACCGGCCCATACAATGCTCACCTTGGTTTTAGCAGGGACCACCAGGACTAAATTCTCAATTCTGATCCCAAATAATCCGTCTTCATAATACCCCGGCTCTGTAAAATACAGAATGTGATGTTGTTACAGTCCGATATATAAATAGGTGTACGGGGCCAAGTGATTCTGAGTAATACAGG